TTACTCCTAATGTATTTAACATGATCTAGATGCCTAGACTTTTTCTTTCTCTTTTTTATTAGTTTGAAGATATTTTTTTCACTTTCTCTTGTCCTCAATTTATTATATAGATTATCATATGCGTTAAGCTTAGTCTTACTTACTATTTATTAGTGTTCTTCTTGGTATATTCTTCTAAGTTACGATCATTTCTATTATAATGCAAGCTCTGTAATATAATTGTTTTTTGTTAATAGCCTTTTGAACCTCATCAATCTACCACCAAGTTTTCTTATTTGATTTTCTTTTGCCTCTAAATTATCCTAAAACTTCATTTGCTACTTTCTTAACACAATAAGACATCTCATTCCATATAATTTAAACAATGTATTCCTCGAAAGTTCATACAACTATATATATTTCTTTTGTTCTTATAAATACCGACCACAATATTTTTTCTCCATTCATTTGACATTTCCACATAAAACTTTGAGTTTTTAGTGTATTAAAAAGCCAAATATTTTTTTAAAAATGTGTTTTAATCGAAGACTTGTCAATTATACTTCAAACCTCTTAAAATCACTAAGGTGGTCAAATGATCCTAATTAATATTTGAGGGGTTTCTTTTTCATTTTGTTTCACTTAGTCATCTCTTTAAGAGATATCATCTCGTCAAAAAAGATATTAAAAAATTTCCAAATTTCCATTGTTCATGATTAAGAAGCCTTAACAATTAAGGGCATTTCAATAATTTGACCCCCATAACATCCCAAGGCGAAAAGACCAATATTTATTTTAGGTTACAAATAAAGAACTCATTTTCCAAAGTATATTTATTTTAGGTTACAAATAAAGAACTCATTTTCCAAAGTCAGTAATGAGGAACAACTAAGGGTATTTTTGTTATGGGTATACAACACTATTGGAAAAACTAGCCAATCTAACCACTAACCTCCCGGTTAGCCGGTTCCGGTTTAGGCCGGTTTTGGTAATCGATCGATATTTTAAAATAAAAAATATAAATAAATAAATAAATATCTATATATTCTCAAAACTAAGGAATTTGGTTTGTAATACATTTTTTAATATTATTTATACTAAAGGTAAATATTAAAAATAGTTTTGGTCATTAATACTCACTTTAATTCAAAAATCGATTTGTTAAAATCTATTTTTTTCATTGATTTTCAACTTCATTTGAATGCGTTTCGTTTTAATCATTCTTTATATATTGTTCATAGTTTAGTAATTTTTTTTTTTTATCTTTTTTATTTTTTAAACACGTTTTTGACCGCTTGGACTTGCTTGGTTAGAACGATTGAATCGACCGGTTTACTAGTTAGGTCGGTTAAACCACTTTCTAGCCCATGTCCGGTTAACCGTTTTGGTTCGATTTTACGAACACTGGTATACAATGAGACCATTTACCTTTGATACAATGTGGTCACAATTACTGACAACTATCTGATGTAAAGTTTGATAGCTTGGATATGTCACAAAATTCAAGAAAATTTCATTTGAAGTTTGAGATTGGTCAATAGAATAATTGCTGCCACCCAATTTCACATCTAACGGTCAATATTAATGTCTCACCTTGTACTAAAGGTAAATGATCCCATTCTATACTTTCCCTTTTGTTATTTAGCACTAAAATGGTGGTGAGTCAAATGATATAAATACCCACAATTATTTTCATTAGGAATCCTAAATGTGTGTTTTTTATTTATAACTCTGGACAAATAGAAATATTTTTTCGTCCTAGGGGTCAAATTATAAAAATACCATTAGTTGAACAAGCTCCATTTCAGATACTTTAAGCTTTTTTTTGAAGATGTATCTTAGTAAAATAAAAATGAAAAAAACAACCCTTTAAGGGGTTGTTCAAGCCCTTAAATGAGAAAGCACTAATCCATCTCTATATTTTATAAAGCTGATAACAAGAATGTATCTGATGGGTAGATCAGCACTAAAAAAAACTTTCTAAAATTAAATGTTTGAATTTTATGACACTGGTAAAAAATAATAATTAAAAAATTGAATTTGAGTTGCTCCTTTCCTAGACCTCACCGTCCAAGGACATCCGTTAGGACCTTTTCTTGTATTTTCTAACGAAACAATTTTTTTAGGGAGAAAATCTCTTAGCTTGTTTTCAGTGATTTGCGTTTTAAGACCCAAAAATATATATATAAAAAAAATATATCACAAATATATCTTATTTGTGATCGATTTATAAAAAAAAACTCAACTTTTATAAACCTCGCCCACACATTTTTTCTTCAAATTTGTGTATTTTTTACCAAAATGATCTTTACGGTAGATGTACTACCGTGAAATCAATTACAACACTTTAATTACCGTAAAAACTAATTCATGTTATATGGCATTTCAATTACCGTAAAAACTAACCCATGTTGTACGGCACTCAAAATGCCGTTTATGTTTATCTCTTTTTTCTCTCTCTAATTCTTTTTAATATTTGTCTCTTCTTTCTCTCTCTAAATCTTTTCTCTCACTAACTTTCTTTTTTTTTATACTTACTTCATCAACTCAACAAACACGATTCTAATGCGATATAAATCTCACTCCGTCTAATTTTCATAAAGGATGGGGTTGAAGCGAGTTTTTACCTGGGATGATAAGGTACACACAGTTTGTTATACCAAGCTCCTTGAAGAGAGAAAGAGAGTTAGAGAGAAAAATAAGTGATAAAAAAGAATTAAAGAAAGAAAGAAGAGATAAATATTAAAAAGAATTAAACAGAGAAAAAAGTAAATATTAAAAAGAATTAGAGAGAGAATGAACAAATAAACATAAAAAAAAATTAGAGAGATGAAAGCTATAAATATAAACAGGATGAAAAAGATAAATATAAATATAAAAACAATTAGAGAGATAAAAGAGATAAATATAAACATGATGAAAGAGATAAATATAAACCTAAAAAAAATATAGAGATGAAAGAAATAAATATAAACACGATGAAAGAGATAAATATATACAGTAGAAAAGGTTTACGGTATTTCAAGTGCAGTATAATATGCAGTAGAAAAGGGTTTACGGTATTTCGAGTGCAATATAATATGAGTTAGTTTTTACGGTACTTAAAATCCCGTTTTACGGGTTAGTTTTTATTGTACTTAAAATGGTGTATAACATTTTAGTTTTTAAAGTACCGTAATTGTGTTTCATGGTAATACGACTACCATGAATATTATTTTGGTAAAAAAATACCAAAATTGAAGAAAAAAGGAAATTGAAAAATATGGTGTGGGCGAGATTCATGAAAGTTTTTTTTTTTTTTCTAAATAGAGAAAAATTAATGTATATTTATGATAATTTCCCATAAAAAACTTTAAAAAAGTGTTTTGTGAGTTAACGGATTCACTAGCCCGCACAATCACAAACGTCCATCTTTAAGATGAACATCCACAACAAATGATTCCTACTCAATAGATAGGAAAAAGTTCTAATTAAAATATTTTAAAATTTTATTTCATTATATTTTATTTTTATATTCATGATCATCATAATGTAGAGCATGAATCACTACAAATTTCAATCCAAAATCCATATAAGAAATGGGTATTTAAGGGAGCCCGTATAAAATCGTACGAGTTGGGGGATTCATACAAACGAGGTCTAAAAAATATAATAAAAACTAGTAAAAATTACAAATAATCTTCAAGATCAAATTTCTATGCAACTTACCCTCAACTAAACTTTTGTGCCCATTTTTTACCTGAAAAATATAATTTCCTAGCAAATACCTATAATATAAAAAGGCATATTTTTGACAAAAATACCTTTTCTCGTATATAAAAATTTAATTTTAGACGGACAATCACGAGTGTTTATATGGGCTACTGGATTGCCATGTACCAATTGCCAGACCCGTTAAACTAAAAAGAGTGCTGGACCATTCTTTGACTACACTTTAGGCCTATTGTAAGACCGCTCTTTGACAGTACCGAACCGTATGGGCCTATCACCAGACCGTTCTTTGCTCGTGCCAAACCGCTTTGAGATATTGCTGGACAACTTATTTATACTTGCCCTATAGGAAGCGGCAAATGAAATAGTAAGAGAGAAAAGGTATTTTGGTCTTAAAAACTATAACTTTGGATTGCGGGATATTCCCTATAAAAGTTAGTTTTTTGAGTGACGTTGCCTTAAAAACTTGATTCGGGTAAGTTGCAAAGAAAGTTCAATGAAGGGTTTTTTTCTTTTTTTTTGCCATTTGCACCTTAAACGTTGAGATGTCTTTTTCAAAACGGGGGAATCTCGTTTGTTCTATTGCTAAGTTATTGTACGAGAATGTCAATGATCTTAAAGGCTGTCAAGGGTACTTTCGTCAATAAATTTAGTTTCAGGGAAAACGATTTGAAACCTATAAAACCTCCATTAACGACATGGTCCCAAACGTTATTTGCACCTTAAACGGGGAAAACGGGGTTTTTTTTGTCATTTGCACCTTCAACGTTAAGATGTCTTTTTCAAAACTGGGGAATCTCGTTTGTTCTCTTGCTAGGTCATTGTACGAGAATGTCGATGATATTAAAGGCCGTCAAGGGTACTTTCGTCAATGAATTTAGTTTCGGAGAAAACGATGCGAAACCTATAAAACCTCCATTAACGACACGGTCCCAACAGAGATTTCTATCCCCTCAAATCAAAACCAGGCCTCTCTCTCTCCTCAAATCAAAACCAGTCTCTCTCTCCAAGCCAGTGACTGTCATTCTCTCTCTAGTTTTTCGGTACTCTCTTTCTCTCTCTAGATTTCGCTGTTGTCATTGCATAAAAACGCCATGTGCGACACCGACCTCCTCTCTTTCATTTTTTTCGTTTTGGCCTTATACACTTGCCTCTCCTGTGAAGCTTTTGGACTGTTATCATCAGTTTTGGAGGTGCTTCTATGGCGGCCGTATATGACAGGTTCGTGTTAGCTGAGAATTTATTGATCTCTCTATTGGTATCTCCGTCCCCCTCTGTCTCTTTCTCTGTCGTCTATTTAATAAACCTATTTTATTTCTCTCGCGCTCTGCACTTTCTGTTGCATTTTCTTCCATTCTTATGTCTGCGTTCTGGCTCTTTTGCAGAAACTTTCTAACTGACATTTCTGGTTAGTTTCAGAGATTTCCATTTATGGGTCTGTTTCAGAGTAGAGGTCGGGTTTACAAGGCCATGGAGGACGTGGATCTTGGACCTAACAGTGGGGAAGAGTATATTTATGCCAATGTCAAAGGTGAACGAACTGTGGTTTTATATATTTGTCCTGGATCTCTGTATCTTTTCTCTTGTAGTTCTAGCTGGTCGTTGCTATTTTCAGAAGTTTTGCCTTACTGTGAATTCATTTATTGCCTGCGACTCTGGCTCGTTATGTCTCAATAAAAGAAATTTAATTTAGTTTTGATTCACTCATTTAAAATTTTGAAAATGCCTTAGGTTGAATTTCATTGTGGATATTGTTTGTTTGAGATTTTGAAATTGATCCTAATATTGAATTTCATTTTAAATTTCTTTATATGGGATTGTGAATTTGCTCCACAAGAATGGATTTCCTTGTTTAGAATTTTTTAATTCAAAATTGTGAATTTGTCAAACGTTCAGTGTTACGGAACTCGAGTTGTGTCCTTAGGTTGAATTTCATTGTGAATATTTTGTTTAAGATTTTGAAATTGATCCTAATATTGAATTTTATTTTAAATTTCTTTACATGGGATTGTGACTTTGCTCCACAACAATGGATTTCGTTGTTGAATTTTTTAATTCAAAATTGTGAATTTGTCAAACGTTCAGTGTTAGGGAACTCAGAGTTGTGTGTACAACTCGGGGCACATAAATTTTTCAAAATAATTCAAAAATTTGAAAAAAAATATGGGTTATTGTATAAATTTATTGTATCTGGTTTTGATATTTTTTGCATAGATTGGTGAGTGTTTTTTTGCCATAATACCCATATTTTTGTGTTTTTTTTTTTTTTGACACCATTCAAAATTTTTTAGTTTATTTTTTATACTTTTTTATACATTTGTAACTTTTTTTTTTTTTTAAGGTTGCTTTTGGTTTTACTTTGCTTTTAATACCTTAATTTTATTTCATTATGCTATGACTCATCCGAGTCCAAGTGGACTCAGGTGAGTAACTCAAGGTGAGGCTGAGTTTCCCCGAGTTGGGTGCACAACTTGAGGATACAAAAAAAATTTAAAAAATTAAAATATTAAAAACTGTTGGAGTTTTTATAATCTTTTTGTATATTATTTGGATGTATTTGCAAAGATTGATGAGTGGTTTTTGCTACTATCACTATTTTTTATATTTTCCTCTTTTTTCCATTTTTTAAAATGTCCCAGACTATAAATCAGTTTTTTTTTAAAAGGATTTTTTTCTCTACATTTTAAGCTTATTTTAACTTTTTAAAGTTGTTTTGGGCGTCAACTTACTTTTAGTCCATGTTCTTTATTTTTTCATTTTTTTTCTTTTTCTTAAAGTTTTTTTGGGCCAAAAGACCTTGTGTTGGACACAGCCGAGTCCTAAGGACTTGGCCGAGTAACTCGCCTTAGCCAAGGGTTAGTTCCCTGGTCGAGTTGAGTCCCGGCACACTATTTATTTTTTTATATTTATTATGATTTTCTTTTAATTTTTCTAGGGCTTTTTGGCTATGTCCAAGACTCAGTGAGTCAACTTAGACTCAGTCAAGTAACTCATCTTGGCCAAGAGCCCAGTCCCTTGGCCGCGGCATTCTTTTAAACACTGTTTGAAATATTGAATTCACTCCTAAGAACCAATTGTTTATTTTTGTTTGAAATTTTGATTTGTCCAAGATTGAGCTCCATTGTGCATTTATTTATTTGAGATTTTAAAATTTGCTCCTAAGATCGAATTTTAAAATCTATTGTTTGTGACTATTAGTTATTAAGATTCAGCTTCATCACTCATTTGATGATTTGACTAAGGTCTTATTCATGTTCATTGTGAACTTGTTAACCAGCGCCTCGACTTGCCGGTTTTGTGATAAAAATCTTTGCTTGGATTTTGGAATCAAGGATCATTGGTTCCATAGTAATGCACATATTGAAAGCAGATAATCTCATCCATAAGGTATGATGCATTGTTATTTCAAGATTTTGATTCGTTAGTGAATATGAAATTGGTGCTATCCCCCACACCCCTCACACACGCTGGCATCCCCCCCCCCCCCCCCTCCACACACGCTGGCATCCCCCCCCCCCCCACCACACGCACACAAAAGAAACACACACCCTCATATGTGTGTGTGGTGGGTGGGTGTGCGTGTGTTTGCGTTTGGAGGGGGTGGGGGGGGACTGTGGGGATGGGGTGGGCATGTAGATGTTCCAGATGGGTGTTCGGGAGCGGCTGTTTGGGTGTGGGTTGGGGGGTGCGTGTGTGCGTGTCGGTTCATGGGTGCATGGGTGTGTGCATTGGTGTGTGTGTGTGTGCGTGTCGGTTCATGAGTGCATGTGTGTGTGTTTGTAACAATTGGCAATGGTCTTGATAGCAGTGGTGTATATGGCATACAATATCTTTAGATTTCATGTTATATTAAACACAGACATTCAAACATAATTTGCTGGAGTTTCCTTTTCAAAAGTTTTTCCCTCAATTTTTAGCTCAATTTGCAATTTTTGTTCAATGGAAAGTGAATTGAGTTTTGAGTTTGGAAAGTGAATTGAGTTTTGAGTTCTGAATTCTTGATCTCTTGTATGGTGTATGTTGATTTGCACTAATGATGGGCTCAGTGAACTGAATTGCCTCAGTTCCCTTTGAGTGGGAACTCAGCGAGCTCATTGGTTTTGAGATTTCACTCAGAAATTTCTCATATTAGAGCTTTGTGCGATTACGATTTTCGTTTAGTTCTATGATTGATAATAGGATCATATGCGATTACGATTTTCCAATGGACTATAAAAAAAACCATTCTCTATTGCAACACACGCTTCTATGAATGAGTGACAGAGAGGTGGTGCCCTTTAAATCATTCTGACCTATAAATTCCTTGAAGCCTTTGTAAGCTCTTCCTTAATTGTCTCCTCAAAGTGTTGAAAACTACTTGGGAGGATCATCAAGGTATCTCAATTATTTACTACCTCCTTTTTATATTTTTTTGCTTATCTTTTAACATCATCAATTATTTATGAAATACCCCCACTCTGTGAAAATCATCCCATCACCTTTGGAATCGAGCCACATCAGTTGCAGACATGAAGAAAGCCAAAACTTTCCTCCTTTGGCTTGCATTTGAGAGGAGTGGCTTGTGATTGGCACCTAGAAAATGATTTTTGCTAGTAAGTGGCTGGACGTCCCCAGTATACCACACCTTCACTCAAAAATTCACATAAAAGTCACCAAAACACTTCAAACCAGAGAACTTAGAGAAAGATGCAAATTTAACCCAGCACCCTGTACAAGACAATAAATATCATGGAAAGATTTCACCTTGATAACCTGAAGAAGGCACAGAATATCAACGAAAAATATTGCCTTGGCCTCCTCCATACTTGTAACATCTTCAGTACTAGCAGTCTCTGTAGCTTGTTCACTGTGCTGCTTTTTTGGACATATGGGATTGGATTGGCTTCGCAGCCTCTACTATTCTTTGTCAACTCTTTGAGGAAGAAATATAACAGTTCAAATCTAATTGCTGCACTCTTTAATCTGTTTACATGTCATAGATGAGTCACCAGAGAGGTTTAAGATGTGGAGCTCTCACACCATAATAGGTAGTGGCCCAAAATCACCTCCTTTGTCCACTTGTTTGTTCAAGTGGCACTCTGGATGTTAACCTAAAAAAAGTTCGTGATACTTTGGATCTCTTTACATATTGAGGTACCATGATTCTATCTTCTAATCTGCCAATGCTTATGATGTACTTCATTTCTTGCAGCTTCTTACATTTGCAGAGATGAAGGAGCCACCAATGTATTATCCCAGCTATCCTTCGGAAGGTTTTGATTTTGTTGAGAGAATGCCCTTTATTCCTATAGAACATTGCCTTTGGGAATGTATTAAAATCAATAGCTATATTTTCTTTTAAGAAGGCAAATTATTTATCTAAGATAAACTATAATTTATTTAGCATCTGATTTAATATCATAAATGCAGATTTTGACGAGCAAGAAGTCAAACATATACCCTCTGGTCTATCTCCATGTGAACGAGTCCACCAAGTTGTGGAGGCAATTCCCCACAGCCCTAGTGGCATAGGTCAATTTACTTTCAAATTTCATCGCTGGACCATTTTGGACTATTCGAGAGCTTACCATTCTAGAACAATTACTCCACGTAATGTATGACATTAACTGCTTTAGGATACTGCAAATTGTTAGTTTGTTCTTGTCATTCCCTTTTAGCATCCCATTTTCACTGTGATTCAATGAGCGAACTAGTAATCTTTTGCTTTTGATATTCAATTAGGTTGCAGAGCGACTTTTAGCTGCGATTGAGGACTCAATGAAGCCCCATCTGAACATGTCATTCTTTATTAGTTACAATAAGGAAGATATTTTAAGACAAGCAGATGAGTCAACGTCTCGCCACATGAGAGGTACTCTTGAACCATGCAAAATCTTGGTAATTGTACATTTAGTTGCCAGATGTGCAGAAACTTATTACATAGTAATGCAAAATTGCTACACACACTCATTTTGTTGCTGAGATATCTTCTGCCACCAAGATAGAAATGTTAAACATGATAATTGTCAGTGTATGTGATAATTCTGGTTTACCACTTATGGGAAAGGGAACAGAAAAAAAAGATGTCAGAGACATGGCACTAGATGAATCTGGCAGGCATGTATGACAATCAAATACATGAAAAATCAAAGTTTTAACCATTATCTTAAAAAACTATTATATTAACTTTGAAAAGAAGAAATTCTTAGAAAGGATGCATAACCAGAATTCTGTTTTGCGTATTTGGAGAATGGTCTCTCATTTTCTGTTGGTTGAGTGTAAAATCTTCTGCAAATATTTATGGAAACCTTCACTCGACTACAAACTGGAAGTTGTCCTCGTTTGTTAACATTTAAATTTACCATTCTCTCTGGCCCTCTGAAAGCATCGCAAGTGAGTCTCTCAGCTGTCCAAGAGCTCGTCAAATTAATCCATGTAAGTACTTTATTAGTTAGTCTCTATGAACTTGCTTTTACTTTCAAGGGATTCACCGGAAGGTAGTCAACTGTTAACCAAATTGAAATGCCTCAACAATGACCTTGGAGCCTTGGATTTCAACAACAAAGTGTATTCATAGGATCTCAGGGTACCTTGGTACTTTTTGATGTCCTTGGGGAATCTACTGATCAATACAAAAAAAAAAGAAAGAATAAAAAACGATGTCTTTGGGGTATTTCTTTGTAGTATCATGAATGTGGAGTTGCCTCTTTTAAGTCAAGAGATCTCTATATGAAATCCCATGGAGTGCATTTTCTAAACTGTGTTTTAAAATATAACCATCTGGGCCAAGATTGGATCCTATGACATTTGAAGGTGGATGCTTACGGATAACATTAAGCAAAGCAAACATACATGTACACTGAGTAAATAATTAACTCTAAAATATAAATATATAAATTATCTACTAGAGAAAATGCCTTGATAGGAAAATGCGTTAATCGAAAGTTTTTAAAGAATCATTTTGAAAAATACGGTACAAAAACAAGTATATTTGTTTTCTTTTTTCGCATAAAATAAGTTTGTATTTTCAAGTTTGATTTTTTTGTATTGCAATTTTCTCGTTTGATTTTTTTTGTATTACAATTTTCTCCATTATATTTAGAACTATTTTATGATATATACAAATATATGTATACGTGCATACACACACACACACATAGGGTGAGGTTTGTATAATGTACCCTCCTTATAAGGCATGCCATTAAAACTTACTTGAAGATGTAATTCTGATATTGGAAACCTTATGATGGCTATAAAATCTATTTTTATCCCTTATGAAATTTTAAATTTCAATAATGGTAGAGATCGAGCAAATCTATAAACACTTGAAAATCTTGAAAATAGATGATCCAAATAACTTGTTACAAGATGCACTACTTTTAGGATCTGAAATTATTATTTTTGTATCCAAACATATTGAGGTCGAGCAGATAAATTGGAGGGATCCAACATCTTAACACTCACCTCTAGAGGATTTTTGAGGCACACCTTACTTCGACAGTATAGGGTTGAAACCTTATAAACTTTCTCTCTCTCCACTAGGTCATAAGAACATATGAGCCCAACAGCCCAGATTGAATATGGGCCGATCTGACGATAACAATCTCATTTTGTGTTTGAATTTTAATTTTTTTATACAAATACAAATAACTTGAAATTTTAGGAATATATTTTAAAAAATAGGAGAATCTAATAAACATATCAAAAAAATAATTT